AAGAGCTTTGGTAATGAAAATCATTGAGTATTAACTTGGTCCGCGACTTGGTTTAGTCACTTAGGAATGGGTTTATTTCTATTGGGCTTCGGTTAGTTTAAACCGTCTTATCTTTGTAATTGTCTTAGTCTATATAAAGCTAAGCATGTGTGGAATTAGGGTTAAGCTTGTTGTTAAGATTTTCTCTGGTGTTTAGAGAAATCTTGTGAGAAACRTTATTGTAATCTGTGGTGATAGTMGATTACTGGAAAGCTCRAGATAGAGACTTAGATCACATACCGTGGTCTGTCTCCCTAAATTCTCTGTGTGCTTTACTTTATTGCTCAAACAAACTATTCTGTGAACATCAAAAGAGAAGAAAAATACCCTACAGGGGCCTTCTTGTCTTCATCATTGTTGTCTCACATACTTGTCAAATTCTACAAACTACAGAGAAATTTCTATTAATATTCCGAATCCAAAACGAAAACCTGAGATTCAGTGAGACCGCATCTTGAATGTAACTCTTGGATACTTGTATGTAGTTGAGTTCTCCAACTCTTTAGAATTTACAGCACGAAAATAAACCTGAGATATAAGCAGAGTTGTTTGGATCTCAAAATTGATTAGGGTTTGGAATATCCTCTTTCCTGCTCTTCCCGTATACTCGGGGGAATTTTTCGGATGGAGTAAGGTAGAGAATCGGTGAGAAGGTGAATAAAGAGCAAAGGGAAACTAAAAAGCCAAACGAAACCCAAGGAAGAAAGCGATCAAGCGTTTTTCACATTTTTAAGGCCTCGTGTCAAGCTGTGGGAGAGGGTTATTGCATGTCCCAAATCAAATAATGCTTTTTTATCTTTACTGTGTTTAGTTATCTATCAATTATTATTGAAATATATTTTGAATTTTTTTTATATGTTTATAGTTTTCAAAAAGTAAATATGAAAAATAATTTAGTTTTGTTTACATGAAATGGTGAGATTTATTATTAGATTTTGAAATAATTGTATTCAAATGTGTTTGATAATGAGTATTGATGAATAAAAAAATAGTAAATCAGAATTCATTAATCCAAACTCGAACCAAATTATATAACTATGAAAAAGTTTCGAAATTTTTTAAGAAATTATCTAAACCAAACTCTAATTATATAGAACCGAACGATACTAACCATAAATTACTAAATATATTGTTAGATTTATTGTTAAAACCAAATACAATTTTTTAGTTGCTCACAAAAGTTTTTAAAATTAAAAATGAATATTGTATTTATCTTAAATGTATCTAATTATATATATGTACATGCAAAATTGTTTACATGCTCATAGATTTTCAAAAGATGATGAAATTAACTAATATTTTATTTTAAAATTTGGAATATATGTTAATTTTTTTGTTCCAATTCAATTATATGATTTAAGTATAGAATTTTCGAAATAATTAAGTTTTGGCAAGTTTAAGATTTCAAAATATTTTAGTTTTTGCAAGTTTAGGATCATTTTTATGTGTTTGGCAACTAGAGTAAAAGTAATCAAAATAGGTTAATTTGTAAATAAATGTGTTTAGTAATAAGTATAGAGTAATTAAGTAAATAAAAAGTAAAAATGATAGAAATTTTGTGGTGATGACACCTAAACAAAAGAGAAATTTTGAGAAATGCCACTTTTGAAGTGTCACTTTTCAAAAATACCTTCTTTTCAAAATCTTTACAAAAATAAAACTTTTTCTAAATTATTTCTTCACTATATTATTTATGTTTGTGTTAACTATGTTGTATTAGAGTTTAATTTTGAGGGTTTAGAGTTTGTTAGAGGTCAAAACAATTTTTAGGATTTATAATTTTAAGATTTAAGATTTACAAATTCATAATTAGTGATATTTTTGCAAATGGACAATCCATTGTGGCATTTTGAAAATTGGCATTTTTGCAATTATCCCTAAAATTAGCCTAGAATGTTTTTCCTTTAATGTCTTCTATATATTAGCCTAGAATTTTGAAATATTTTAGGTGTCATCGCCATAAATTTTCTCA